GGGGGGGGGAGACCTGCTGAGGACCCACATCTAGTGGGGGGACCCACCAGATGAGCGGAGCCCTCCGTAGTGGCTTCTCATTTCCCCCGCAGCCTGCTCGCTCATCTGTCTCTCGTTCCAGACAACGGCATAATGTTCCTCATACAAGGTCTTTGAAGCAAGAAAAACCAGTGTTTTGATGTCGGGCATTTATTTATTTATTTATTTATTTATTTATTTATTTATTTCTGCAGAGTGGCAGCGCGGGGTGGGGGGGGGGATAATTTCTTTTCAGTGGGGTTCCTTTGTCTCTTGCAATGCCTCTTGCATGCACACCTCTCTTGCTGACATTTCTGGGCCTTTATGGAATGCCAGCTGGTTGCCATAGCAAATCGAGGCTTCGTACTACAAGCAAGAGCCAGCCGAGGGTGGGAAAGAACACACCCCGATTTGAATATATGCTAATGAGGAGCATGCAAAGAGCGCGGTCCATAAATCAGCATAGGCATGCAGCTACTGAGACAGTGTTGAGCCAACTGGCTGTCCCAGGGGCCCATCCTTGAGCGCCAGGATCAAACAGAATGCCAGGGGGCAAGCTGATCAAAACCAGTCCCCCTGCCCTGCAGCCCGTTTTCCACCAGGATGAGATTAAAATATTAAAATAAAGCCATCTGCATGGCTAGCCACATTTACAGGTGGGCATTCATTCCATCTTACTCTGTGGCACCCAGATCTTTTCCCTTTGTATATTCCAAATTGCCTTGGTAAAACACTGGGGGGGGAGTTTCAGGTGGGGAATATGGCACATTAAAAAAGGCCTGTTCTTGAATATAGTTCCGTATTGTGTTTAAAATCTACCCCTTACAATGAGCCTGTGGGGTAGAATAGTTTTCTAACAAAGAATGTTGTTTTCCTTTCCCCTCTTCATTCTCTTTCCTTTTATGCCACATCTCTTAGATTTTAAGCCTTCCAGTAGGGACCGTCTTATGTCTGATCCTTATAAGTAGCCACGGTGAGCCTTTTCAGCTAAGGAAAGGGGTAAAATTCAAGGTATGTGCCAAGCACAAGAAATGACTTTGATCTCAGTTTGGAAATGTGCTTCTGTGTGGACCCGTTTGGAGCTGAGCCGAGATGTCGGCATCTGAAGCTTTGTGTCTTCCACCGGTTATTGTAAGGATTTCTCTTTCTTTCTTTCACTCATTTTGGAAGCTCTGCATGTTATCTTAACACGAACTGGATTACAATTCAGTCTGTAGAAATACCAAAGAAGGAATTATGTCTATAAATGCAAGAAATGACAGGTGCTACATACTATTGTGTTTTGTCTTCCTGTGGGGCATTTCTTTAATATATTGGGTCAGGGGAAAACTGGAAGAAGGACTTTTGGCCTCCTGAAAGGATTACACTTGCTAGGGGCCCAGATGAATAGATGCATCTATTTTTGTGTGAGAGTGCTAAAACAGCCTTTGTATATTTAAGACATTTCTTTTCCCTGCCTTCTTGAAAGGAAGGCCTGTTGTGATTATGAAACTCTGAGTCTACAGGACTGCTGTTTTTGCTACAATAGACTAACTGGGCCTTCTTTGGGAAAATACCTAAGGAATCTGATGTTAAAGAATGCCAAAACATTTGTTCCATTCATATTTCAATCCCAGTTTACCAAAGTTCGCTCTCCTGAACCAGAATGCAGTGGCCTACTAATGCGCCGATACGCTTCCAAAAATGTTATAAAGCAGATTATAAAAACTAAAAAGGATGCAACTGTTTGTATTATGGAAACGAACATACAAAATAAATAAATTACAGAAATGCATACACAACAATATATTTATTACTGAAAAGTGCTTACCCAACATTTGCATTGTAGAGGGAAAGGGTTGCCATAAATGTGGACATATTGCAAAGTACATATATTTTGAGAAATGAGCATAAACATTTCAGTTAATTTTCAGATAGATCCTAAAATCAAACCAAAGCAAAGCAAAGCAGACTAAATCTAATGTGAAAATGATATAGAATGAATACAACTTTAAAAACAGAACAAGAAACAGAGCAAATCTGAACTTAGAGTACATCTCTCTTCATGCTAGAGATGTAGTCTAGCACATATGATAGATACTTAGTTGGTTAAACAGCAGTCTAAAAGAATTATTCAAATATATATTTGATTTTCTGACTCAGCAAAGGAGAAATGTAACCCAGAGCTCCATCTTGTGGTGGAAATATAGAAACTGCAACTCCAGATTTTTCTTTTACGCATCAGAAATTTAAGATCCGTCACCAAAGATGGTTCTTTTCCAGGTAACTGGGCAGTATTCCAGAAGACCCAGGCAATATAACAGAGGCAAAAGAATAGGATGAGAAGACACAATACTAACAAACACTTTGCTGTATACTGAATACAACTGAATACAACTGAATAAAACTGGATAAATGAAACTCCAGGTTTAAGGGCATGTGAACTTCATCCCCCAACAACCAGGGAGCAATAGAAAGTACCATGCTCTGCACCTAGCCCAGTTCTAAAATACAACCTCCAATTTCATCAGAGGAACATGAAAAAGAGAAGTATGGAGCATAAATGAAAGGCATGTATCTTCCAGGAAATATGAAAAAAAAAAGGCCAACAGCTTTTGGGATGGGGAGGTAGAAGCTCAAACACATCAAGTTATTTCTGGTCCTTCAGCAAGAATGTCTCCCCGTTCTATTTAAACATGTTCACTTTGTCAAAACAATGGCGGTGGTGCCTCTGAGCATGGACAAAGGGTCTACATCCGGTAAAGATGGACTCATAAGGTTTCAGATGAGGAAAAGTCCAGTCTTGCTCAGCCTACTGGCCTATATGGGCACTGCAACCATATATATATATATAATTTGGGGATGGGGGGACCCACTTTGGATGTCAGCCTCTGAGTGAATAGATAATTTTGGAAAGTATCAGGCAAAATCTGGATTTGAACCTGCACCCGAGCATTGAGAGATCTCCTATTAGGGTGCCCCCACCAAATTCTGGCCAAAGAAGGAACTACAGCCAGGTGAGGTGTGAGAACAATGCATACACTTCTCCAAGGTCATGATTTCCATGTGCTTTGGACTACAACTCCCTGAATCCTGACCACTGGCCCCTCCATACTGGGACTGATGGGAGCTGAAGTCCAAAGCAGGCTCTTTCTAGCAGAGAAATTGGTAGTAGACCCACTATGGAAGTCCCTGGAGAGAAACCAAACCAAACCAAACCAAACCAAACCAAACCAAACCAAACCAAACCGATTTCCTTTAACTCCACCCTTCCATTTCATGATCAAAAGCTTTCTTCACTGCACAGCTGCCCTATCTGTTTCATATTCATGCCTGCAGCCCATTCAGACGAAGTTCTCCATGCGAGGCCTGTCACTTAAGCCACCAATTTCCAACGGGAGATCCCACGAGACTTCGGTGCCTGAGACCTTCCCCCCCAAATGCCATGGAAAGTTTGGACTATTGATTTCTTTTCTGAAATGTTTATACTGTTAAATCTTGGAGAGATTGGACAAAAGCATGCTTCCTCTGTACGATTTTTATTAAAAAATATCTAGCAGATTTGCTGCTGGCTGCATTTAGCTCATTTGGTTTCCCTAGATGGATCCACCTCAAATGATCACCACTAACATCAAAAAAGTCCACTTTCCTTTGCCATTCCTGGAAGACAGCCCTGAAAGATTCTCCAAAATTGAATCTCCCCGAGCTGAAGGATTGCCCTGCTTTAAGGAGCTGTCCCTTGAGTAACTTTCAGCATCAGGCACAGCTCCTTTAAAGCTCACCCCACTCCCCACTGAAGTTGGAGCTCCATCAAATCATACGATGTCAAAGTCTGGGACCCTGGAAGTCTTAAGCCCAGCTCCGGACAAGGGGCCATGACAGTTTCCTTTGCAAAAGAACAGCCATTCTCTGTCCCAAAGCCTCCAGCAAAGGGAACCTCACCACTAACTCAGGACGCCTGTTTGGCTCTCAAACAGCTGAGACTGGTAGGGATTTTCTTGTAATATTGTGCTGAAATATGTTCCAGGGTGGGTGGGGTTATTCTGAACTCCGTAAAATAATGCCGCCAAACTACAAACCCGTCTCTTGCAAAATACAGTTGCTTCAATGCCACTTCTTTCTGTGAATTACGCAATGGGGCACAATGGCTTTGTTTTGTGTTTAATTTATTCTGAAAATGGAAGTCTCTCCCGCTTCCACCTTCTGAAGACTCCCTTCCACATCCTGGCAGTCTTGGTCTGTAGCTGGCAGCAGCAAGAGGGCCGTGTGTCTACTCTGAAGGTTTAAGAAGCTCTCCATGGTTCTTAACCCACATTGCAGACCCTGCAGTACAATTCAGAGTGGATACACGGCCCCTACAGACCAAGAGGAAACAAAACCCAGCTTCCTTGGTCTGTCATGAGGGCTGGTGGCTCTGCGTGGGCCAGGCTGAAGATGCAGTGCTAATTCTACAAGGGACCCTTCAAGGAACCCCCAGCCAAACTTTTGAAACTCTTTTCACCCAAAGGTCTCTTTGTAAGTCACTTCAGGCCAAATTCAGGGTGCAATACAAGTTTGGGGTCTTTGCTTTTGCTGGGATTGGGCCAAATGGGAGAATGTTATTTCATCAGCTCATGAACTTTGAAACTGGCCACCCTCCGCCTTTACAATATTATCAGCCACTTCTTCTTTTTAACAAATAAAAATAAAAGCACTCAATGGTCTTTCAGGTTTGATTTCCTTTCCCAGCACCAAGCTCAGAGAGTAGACAAAATCTTGTCTGGTATTCAGAAGTATTTAGTGTCTGTGGACTTGATGTACCACTAATCCATTTTACTAGGTGACTCCCTCTCCACACAACTTCATGAGTTTCTGATTTCTCCCCTGCATTCATACCTCTTGAGCTGGATCCCTCCCTCTTTTTACCCCACCATGATGTATAGGAGGCCAAACTCAGAACTGGAATTCTTTCACCTTCACTCACTCAAATTTCTCATGGGTTTAGGAATAAGCTTGCCACTCCACTATCTCTGAAATTCCTCACTAGGAGGGTGGAGCTGAAGTGGAGGAATGACAGGCTGTCTCTGTTCCTCAGCCAGAGATCGGGGAAGAAGAACCGAGTAATGATAAGACTTGACATAATTGTCCCGAGGTTGGAGGTCCATGGAGACATCACCAGGGCTGGGACGGATGCTGGAGGAAAGCGGAGGGGCTGCGGACACCAACATGCTCTTGGGAGAGGCCCGCTCTGACTTGACACTGATGAGCGAGTTCAGTTGGTTGGAGGAGCCCGAGGCCAGAGGAGCCTGTTCCACACTCCGGCCCACAGCTCTGCAGGGACAGAAAGAAGACAGTGGTTCTGTAGGTGGTCAGCTACAGGAGAAAACGCTTTTGCCAGAGTGCAGGATGAAAAGGAAGAGCCTTCTAAGAGCCTTTGGGTTCTTTGAGTAAATGCAGTGCTATAAGGAGAAAGCTCAAGCTGTCTTCCCAGTTCCAATTTCCTTTGCACCCACGAGGTGGCATCAAATCCTTGCCGACAGTCCAGTCTCTCATCCCATTTTGCAACCCAAGGCTTTCCTTGCTTTCCAGGATGCAGGGTTTTATTTACACCCAGAACATTTAATCTTCCAAGCATTCCTGTTTCTCACAAGGAGCTGGTAAGATACAAGGCCCCCGGAAGCACACCTGGGGAAACTGGGCCAACATGGAATCAGAACTTTGAAATGAAGAACTGGAGCGTGAGTGTAGCTGCTTTCCCCCTGCCCCACAATCTGTGCCATGCCTTTCACAGCGCAAACCTGGCGGCTGTCTTTTGGAGCTGCTCCGGGTGGCTCAGAAGCGGGGCCACAATTCTGCAGATAAATTTTACCTGTGCCGCATCCCAAGGCTTTCTGATTTCAAGCGAGCCTGCCACTGCTCGAGCGAGCCATTCCCCCTAAAGCCGAGGCAAGCTGCTGACAGTAAGAGAGGTGGGGACCAATGCACCAGAATCTCTCCCCCCCCCCCCCCGCATTCTGTTTTGGCCTCTGGGATTTGAGGGAGGTTTGGGGTTTCTTGGGATGCTGGGATGTCTCTAGGCTGACGACAAACACTCTGCTGAAGCACTTTTCCTTTGCACGATGCTGGAGAAGCGTGAGCAGCTCGTGGGCCTTTTGCCTCCCAAATACGGAGGGAGCAGCTTGGTCCCTGTCTCCACTTAGGAGAAAGAGGCCAGGGGACCTTGGAATTAGCAGGTGTGTAGGGGTCTTTCCCTAAAGGGGTCTGGTCAGCCGGGCCCTGCTGGGCTGTGGGCCCTCAGCAACTGCCCCATCATGTCAACTTCTGGTGCTGGCCCTCACATGTCTGCCAGGCAAGGGTCCTTGCCCCCCTCCACCTTCTCAAACTACTGGCCACCCCTCCCCAGTCTCGGGAAGTCACTTACCCCAGCGGTGCGTGCGTGCTGACTGCCAAGTCCCGGTGCTGCCATGTTGCCATGGGGCTTCCTGGGAGACCAAATGGATGAGACGAGCCCTCCCCAGCTGTAAAGTCTGAAAAGAAATCAGCCGGGGGGGGGGGGCGGGGGGGGACCAAGTAGAGCCTTAGGCTGGAGACAAGCAGGAAGTCTTCACACATGCTCCTGCTTGGCCAGAGAAGTGTCAAGTTTCGTGCGCCAAAGCTTGGATCACGAGAAACTCAGAAGGAAGAGGGGTGTGTGCAGAATTATGCCTGGGGTGGAGAAAGTGCCGGAGGGAAGTGTTTTCTCCCTCTCCCATAAAACTGGAGCCCAGAGGGGTCAGTGTGTGAAGGTGACTGCAGGGAGATGCAGGAGAGAGGAAAGGAAGGATTTCCACACATGGCACACAGTTAAATCATGGGATTCACTTCCATGAGATGTTGTGATGGTTAGTTGTTTGGACAGTTTAGAGGGGGGCTGCAGAAATCCTTGGAGAAGGAAATGCTGTCCATGGTGCTAGTCCTCATGGAGGTATGCTACCTCCAGTTGCTGGGGAGCATGGGGCAGGAGTGCCTGCTCCTGGCGGGTTCCCTTCCCAGAGTACACCTTACCCTGAAGAGTCCCTTACTTCCTCCCTGCCCACGACCTTACTTGACTGGCTGGAGGAGGAGAAGAAGTTGAACCCTGGCAGTCCATGTCCTGGGAGGCATCTGTTTCCAGCAGGCAACACTGGATTCACACCTTGATAGCTGGGGTATGAGCGCTGTGGAAGACACAGCCAGAACTTGGACACATGAAGATCGCCCCTGTGGGCTGTAGCCGTGCTCTCCTCGGGGGCCCAAGCTATCGTGGGCACCCTGCCGTTTGCTGAACCTGCTCCCCCGGGTGCACGCATGGCCAAAATGGCTTCAGCGGCACCGCTCCTTCTGTGCCCATGGATTGTGGCCAGGGGCTACCTACCACTGGCACCATGTTGTTCCGGCCGCCGGCGTGCTGCACTTCCATGTGACGGTCAGTGGTCAGGTAGAACGGAGGAGGTGATCTGGGCATCACTGCACGGGAGCGGTGAGTAAAGACCGGGTACCTGTAACCTGCATGGCAGAGGAGGAGAAAGCACAGGTGGGTGGAGGCATGCAGGTCTGGACTCCTGGGCCACGTTTGGTGACGTGGGAAGCTCAGTTCTTGCTCAGTTCCAGAAACAACCGGTGAGGCTTAAGCAAATTTGAACCAATGGTCCGCTTCCCCCCGTCTTGGCTTTTGAACTGGTGTGATTGCCCAATTCACAAACCCCATCACAAATATCATATCAACACAGCCAGTGCTGGAAAAACTGCAGCTTTGCAGGGTTTGCTCAGGCAAGTCATTGGTATGGAGCAGGCGAAAGTCCCAAAAGAACAGAAAAGCTGTGGCGAACCAACACACACAGTGCTGAAGCAAAGAACCCAGTGCAGAATGATAAAGCAGTGCATCTCTGTTTAGGAAAATTGTTAACACTTAGCCCCTGAAAGCTGTGGCCCTTTTCATTGCTTTTATAGATGTTTTAATTCGTTATGTATTAATTGGTTTTTAATGTGTTTTTACTGTTAGTATGTTTTGCATTCTAAGCTTCCTAGGAAGGCTTCAGCAAGTTTAGGTGGCCTGTAAATATTTTCAAATAAAATAAACAAACAAACGAATGAATGAATGAAAGTATTGGTGTGTTCTTGTGTGCAGGAAGGTGTGTACTTCATTTTGTCATGGGGCATGGCAAACCCGTGCTCGTAATGCAGGCTGACTGCATGGATCCCACTATTCATCCATGTGCATGCACGAACTGAAGCAAGCAAAGGCCGGAATCTGGGCATCGTCCCAGGTCACAGAACAAGCCAAGCCCCCAGGTGACCTACCTGCCCCACTGGCTTCTGAGGAACGCCCCAGAGGGACACTGTGCTTGGAAAGGGCCGGCCTGTAGGGCTGCAGGCGACTCTCTTGTAGTGAGGACTCACTGGGGCATGCTGTCCCGCTCGCGCTCTTGGTGGGCACATTGTCTAGGTTCAGCAGAGATGTTGATGGCTATAATTAAGATGGAACAAAGAGGAATTATGAGGAGAGTGGGGCAATCTCCTAAAACATTTCCCACTGCTGCATTTCACCACAGAAAAGATCCCCTTGCGTACATTCCCTTTCGTACAGGTTAGTAGAGAGTTTACTTGGTGGAGGGCCTTCTCTGCGGTGGCACCCTGGCTATGGAATGCGCTCCCCAGAGAGGCCTGCCTGGCACCGATGTTATATGCTGTTTGGTGCCAGGGCAAGGCCCTTTTATTTTCCTGTAATTTCAGTGTATAAATATTTTAACTATGTTTTATGGTCAGTTGTGGATTATTATGGATTATTATGGGTTTACATGTATTTATTGGGTGTTTGATTTGTAAGCCATCCAGAGACACACAATGTAATTGGACGGGATAAAAATACCCAAAGAAATAATAAATGCATTCATCAGTATGAAGAAATGAATGCCAATTCACTTGAAGCAGCAAGATTTGGGGAAATTTGCACCTTTACTGACATCCAATCCACCAGGGTGGGCAACATACAAGCTCCTGGACTGGGGGGACGGGGACGGATGGCTCATAGTCCCATGCTAAGTTGAGGGAGAATGCGGCGTGCTACAAATAACAAGCTTGCTTTATTTATTTATTAGATTTATATCCCACTTGATCCTCACACTGAACTCAAAGCCGCTTGTCTAATTCTCCTCCCATTCTCCACAGCAGCAGCTGGGCTGAAAGTCTGTGACAAACCCAAAGTCATCCAGTTGGCTCCATGGCCAAACGTGGATTAGGACCCAGTCTTATGCTTTTCCCCCATACCACCTAAGGAGCCTAGTCCACAGGGAGGAGTTCAGGAGTCATGAAAATGGCCCCCAGATTCCTAGCCGATGCTCATTCCTCAAACAGGCAAGTAATTGGCAATGCCTTCAATTTTGCATTTTTCCACATTTTGCCCCAGGGTTATCTGATAAAGACAGAACAAAACATCATATTATGGAATTCTCAGGTACTCCTTCCATGGGAAATATATTGGTGAAATACTGGAATTTCCATGTAGACCTTTGGAATTTTTTTTTTAAATCTTGCATTTGGAAAAAAATGAGCTATGCCAAGAAACCAAAATGCATCCATCCTTTGGGCTGAGCAGCTCTGCTGCGTGAGCAATACACTCAAGGAGGGCTTGTGCTTAGCTCCGCCCTCTCCCTCTTGCACAAAGCGGTTACTCACGTAAATCTTTGCTCTCCCTGCTGAGAGGCCCATGCCTTCAGCAGGCTGCCTCGGGTTCTCAGTACGTTCCGGAATCACTTCGACATCTGTCACTGGGCTATTTGGGGCCACACCCTTTCGTTTTAGGGTCTGTAGAGTTTGAACAACAGAAAGTGTGGGGTTTTGAGATTTAGCTCCCAAGAAAACGTTGGGACAAGAGAAATTCACTACCATGTTCTTATGGTCCCTACTAGCAGAGTTTTTAAAGAAAATTCTTGGAGGAAAAAGTTAGCAGTTACTGCTGAGGACTATAAATTACCAGCAGCATCAGAGTCAGTACACTGGGGAGTAGAATCAGTGTGTTGGCATTTGCTTGGCCCCAGTGGGAACCTTTTATACTTCCATGTATGCTCTGAAAATTTGGAATGGGAGGAGAAATTCATTTGGTTCATACTTTAATACAAGCTTGTCTAATTGCAGTTTCAAAATGCAAAGTGTTTCAAGATGCGCTTTCTCTGATGGTTGCAGTTTCCTTATCAACAAATATATAGTGTAGTGCATATACTAGGGAAACAAAAGTTGTCTATTAATGAAAATAGCATGAAAATGCAAGAACAAATTTGATTTAGCAAATGTCCTTGCAAAAAGGGTATATTTCAGGGGAAATGGTATATAAAAGAGAGGGGAAATAAGTACTAAAGTGCAGAGAGATGCTTGTTGTTGTCGTTGTTAGTTGTGAAGTTGCGTCAGACCCATAGTGACCTCATGGACAACACTCCTCCAGGCCTTCCTGTCCTCCACCATCCCCCGGAGTCCACCCCAGCTCACACCCACTGCCCCTGTGACCCCATCTAGTTGGTTATGCCCATTTAAAAAGAAAGATTAAATGTTTTGGACAAATTGAATTTAAGGGATGAAAAAGGAGAAAGTGGAAAACTAGTTGACAAATTTCTTCATTCCTGCTGATCACACACTGCAGAGAAAAGCAATCAGAATATATTAAGCATGTGCCGTTAACAGTTTTTCTGTGCTGTTTACTGGCGTGTATATATGCTGTTGCAGCTAGTTAAAACCCAGCAGAAAGTTAAGACCAGTGTGTTGCCTCCACAAGATGACTTTGCTGTACTGAATTTATTGCATGCACAGTTCAGCAACATAAGGGAGGGAAACTGATCATCACAGTAAGCAGTGCCCGGCACCAGCGTCAGAATTGCTTTTTGCAAAACTAAGGTGGGGCATTGACGATCCAAGTGCATTGGCCCCTTTTGGAGCCAACAGCCTCGAATTCAGACCTCTTGGGAAGACCTTGTTGGCTTTTCTCCTCGTTACCTCCATGATATCCGAGTTGGTGCGACTCTCGTGGGGCTCGCTGTATTCTGTGTATTTCAGCAGGATCTTGTCCATGTCCGTGCTGGCGTACTGGAAGAGCCGGTTGGTGCTGTTAAAGATGATGAGCGCGATCTCACAATCACACAAGACGCTGAGTTCATAGGCCTTCTTCATCAGTCCGAATTTCCTCTTGGTGAACGTAACCTAAAAGCGGGAGGCGAAAGAGAGATGGGAACTATAGATCCATAAATGGAACAGATGTGGTTGGGCTTTGCTCTTTGCCCTCTGGAATTTTTTGTTTTGTTTTGTTTTGTTTCTTAAGATTTTTTTTCATCAACATGCTGCAAACTTGAGCGCCTGAAATAAAAGCTTCCAAAGACCAGCTTTCTTTTTCAGAGCTCAGTCCTGGCCTCTGTCTTGTACTTCCGGGAAATGAGCATTTTGTGATTGGCCACACCTATCTTGGCAGGCATTCAGAGAATAAGAAATTCCCCCATGCCAGCCGTTTTGTGAGAATGCCCATGATGTGCTCCCAACATTGCAAATGTGCCCACCCACCCAAAAGGGAGGGGAGCCAATAAATCGGGTAAATTCAATTGATTAGGGCTTGAGTTCTGCTCCTGAGGGACTGCAACTTCCAGCTTGCTTTTCCCATGATCCCCAGCCCAGGGTGGCACCTAGCATGAGTGGTGGACTCTACCTCCCATCAGCCACATCCTACACAGGCCACGCTAGAAGGAGATAATGGGAATTTTAATCCAATACATCTGGCAAGGGCCAGGTTGACAAAACCCCAATCTGCTGTTATTAGGCCTTTGTTAAAAGAAATCAGTCTGTGTAGAGAATTTGTACACCTCTGTAAAGTTCTTTGCTTGCATTTTGAGGGCTCATACAGTGAAACGGATGGACGGCCCATTCAAGAGCAAGAAAAGAAATTACATCATTGCCCACAGGTTAGACATGACGTCACAACTAGCAAAAACAGCAACAAAACAGGTTGGAGAATCTCTCGGGGGCCGCATGCTGGAGGTAGGTGGGGCCGAAGGCAAAGCAGAGGGGCCTGAAATGCAAGCATGGCCGCACTGGGGTGCTTTAGCACTTCCACAGGTATTTCAGCCTTTGCACTGGGAAAAAATGGCACCAAAGCTGGGCAATTGCCCAAAAATAGAGCTGAGGGAAAGGGGTGGGGCTAGGAAAGGGGGCGTGGCTCAGTGGCCTGAGGTTCCCCGCCCCTGGGGAACAAGGGCACCTTTCTAACCTGAGCTTCCAGCTCTTGCCCATCCATGTTTAAAAGCTCCTCACCTGCCTGTTTCTTTGATCCAAAATCCGACTGATCTGAATCTTTTTCCGACCCATTGTGATCCACCCTCAGAGGGAGCTGCAATTCACTCTCAGAAGGAGGTGGCTTCTGAAGCTAAAAAAGAAAAATAATGTTACAGGTGTCCATCTGTAAATATGCCACTTTATGAGCAATGCAAAGCTAGGTCTTCGCCCCGAGAAACACACAGTCTGACCAGAAACACTAGGCAACACAGTGCTAAGCATACCCCAGAGTGTCATTCTACCATGTACGAAATTATGTTGGGTACACACTACAAGCCATCTGAGGATCCAAAATACAAGTCTCCCAACTCTGGATTAAGGACTTGGGTGTCTCAAATCGGAGAAATGAGACAGTCGGGAGTTCCATTCCCGTTGGTGAATTCCAAAATGCTCGTTAATCTCCTGCCCTTTTCATTCTCTCTCTTGCTTCTTTTGCTTCTTGCCGTCAAGCATCTTTGGCTAAATTTAACCAGCCAGGGCTATTTTTAAAAAGATGGAAGGAAGCAGTGACGGAGTTCCCATGCCCCACAGCAGAACCCCAGTTGTGCCATCGCACACACGTGACACAGAAAGGTGCACACGGCCAGACGCTCGTGCGGGGACCGTGGTGTCAGTGGAAGTGCAGAGATGTTCCCATGGGGAAGCCCCACAGCGGGCAGCAGCCTTGCAAAAGTCCTTGGTGTGCCAGAAGTCACAACAAAGATTAATCAGGTGTGCAAGTGTTAGAGTGCAAGATGTGTGTGTGTGAGAGAGAGTGTATGTCTGGGCATGGATGCACCCTGTACAGGGGCAAATAATCTATTTTGCTCCACGCAGCAAAGGTGCTTGAGACCCGTCTCCTGGGATCTCTGATCTAATGTGCTTTTGTGAACTCACAAAAAAGCAGAACTTGGAAAAGCAGCTTCTGGGCAGTCTCAAGGTGGTGGTGCTTGTCATTTCATCATTGTTTTAAACAAATAAAGTTTCTAGTCCTTCCTGTGGCTCGTTTATTCGTTTAAGTTATTTTCTTCATCATGTCTGACAGCAAACCTCCAAGACAGTGTGGCAAGGAGGGAAAATTAACTCTGACTAAAATCCACCCATCCATCTGCAGTTCCCTGGGGAACCTAGAACAGGGGTCCTCAAACCTTTTCACCAGGGGGCTGGCTGAAAGGTGCCAGCGCTGAGCGTGGGCCTGAAAGGCCGTGTGTACGGGCCGACGAGGGGGCGGGGGTGGTGCGTGTGGGCAGGCACGTGCGTTGAGGTGGGAACGGGGCGAACGGTGAGGGAAGGTGAGGCGAGGTGGGGGCGGGCATGCACCACGAGGAGGGGCACGAGGCAACAGCTTGCTTGCTCGGAGATCATTTTCTCCAAGTGAGCAAGCTGCTGCCTCCCGCCCCGTGCAGGGCGAGGTGGGCGGTGGTGGACGGGCGCACAGCTGGTCCAAATGGGCATGGCGGGCCGGATCCGGCCCCCAGGCCGTAGTTTGAGGACCCATGACCTAGAAGATGCTTTGGATGCCCAGCTCCGAGATTATATTTATTTATAAATATTCTAAATACATATTCTAAATAAATAAATAAAATACAGGGGACATTGTGAAGCACAGGGAGGGAAGGAGACTTGGGTTCAAAGTGACATAAAAAGGGGAACGTTACACAGTGCAATTAGGCAAAGCAGATAAGCAGCAGAAAACCGCTGGGAATCACTGAGGCGCTGAAGGCGGATTGCCAAGGCCTCTTTCGGGTGCTGTCGGAACAGAATGCTGGGCCAAGGAGTGCCTTAGTCTGACTCAGATCTTTTCTAGTGGACTTTAAATGGTCTTTGCCTACCCGGTGGCACACAAGGAGGTCCACGAAACCAAGGGAGCCCGCTACAAATTCCAAAAGCAAAACAGGAAACGCTTCAGTAAAAAAGGGATAAAGTCGGACATACCTTTATATAAAATGCTGATTTATACGCAGAGGTGAAAACACAGGTGTTCATAGTGCGATTGAAAGAGAAATGAGGCCATGGACAAAAATCTCAGAAAAGCTGGAATGGGCGGTTTCGAGCTACCAGAGCTCAGAGAACGAATCAAGGAAGACCAAGGAAGGACTGGTGGGATGGGACAGCTGAGGACGTGAAGCTTTGAACACCCCACGTGCTTATCTTTGTCGCTTCTCCTGGTTCGCGAAGCCAGAATTACACACATGAAGCAAGTGGAACCGAACTGGGTGAATTATTCTCCATTTGGCCATCTTTGGAGAGCTGGCTGCCCTCTACAGCAAATCTGGATTGCCCAGGTGCAGAACTAACACCTGGTTTTAAGCAGGCAATGGAACACAGAGGATAAATAAATGAATAAATGTTTGATCTATTTATGGGTAAAAAGATGATAAATCTTTTGAACCTTAGCTGGAACAAAGAAATTCCTTCTGAATCTTTAAACCTTCTTTTCCAGCTTGCAGCCCTCAAGAGGTTTAGGACTCCATGTCCCAGCATTCCTGCCTATTGGCCATGCTGGCAGTGGCTGATGGGAGCTGGGATCTAAACCATCTCAATGGCATGAGGCTTTAGCAGAGAGAGAGAGAGAGAGAGAGAGAGAGAGAGAGAGAGAGAGAGAGAATGAACAGCACAGCAACTTGTTTCTGTTCAGTTTTGACCACAATTATCTTGCACCTCCTGGGACATTGTCTGAGCTAGAGGCCTGTACATTTCCACGCTTGGATGCATGAGGCAATGCATGTTGAAATTGAACAAAAGAATTCCAAAATGGACCCTTCTGAAAAGCCTGCACAACTGGGCATTTGCCAACGGTGGAAAATGCATCCATTTAAAAAAAAGTGAACCAATGCACACCTTTGAGCAAAACATGTGCCCACATTTTCCTGCAAAAAGAATGCAGAATGCAAGAGTATATCCTGAGGACCAGTTTTTATGGGTGGAGGAAGTACACTGTCCATCCGAACGGGCAAGTGGTGGAAAATATGAGCCAGTTCTCAAATGGGAACTTTGACCAATGGGACAGAGCCTCCCACTTAGCTCAGGAGGGCAGACACTCGATAATGTGACCAGACAGTAAGGAATTGGCTGGTTTCATCACCCATCGCTTCCCTGGGAAGCTCATTAGAGAAGACAGGAAAGAGACCCAAAGCTGGGCTACAATACTTTCTGTGACGATCTTTCTATTAGGGTTAATTATGGGATTAAAAAGGAAGGTACATGTACATAAATATATTTAATGGATTCAGCTTTTGAACCCCAGGCAAGATGCACCCACATTTTCCTCACTAGAAAAGCACAGAATGTAGCCACAAAATCCCGGAAGCTTTCCTAAGGATAAACTAACAAATCAAGCTTCTAGCCCATAATATAATGGTGAGAAATGTCACGGATAATGTGCAAGCAGAGAATGCCCTAGGGCACTCTTTCCTTCCCAGCATCTCCCTGGGTTTTACAGTGGTGAATGCACTGGGTTGGACTGGCCAGGATGTATTCGATAGCTTCCTGTTGGCTGGTTTTAAAATATTTCTGAAATTTGGGTACCGAGCACTGTGTGTACGTGCGCCTTTTGCTTGCATCTGCTCCCTTCTGTGCATAACTAGCGTGGAAGGGGCTCAGCTGCGGCTGCTTCAGCAGTCTTGATGAGATCGTATGCATGAATGCACCAAGATTCTTTTGGGGCTTAGTGATGCGCACACTGATAAAAACACCACGCAAACACAACTCCGGTACAATTGATTGAGAGGGCTTTCTTGTGGTGTTGCATCCACCATGAGCAAAAGAGAATACATTTGCTCCCACCGTTTGCACAGATACTTGTTTAGATGGAGCACGGGGGGTTCTCCAGATCTATTAAGACCCTCCCCCCAGCCCTGCAAGCAACTGAGGACCATTCCAAGGTAGTAGGCCCACACTGGTGGAAAGTTCTGGTCCTGACTAGCTACACAGACACACAGAAACGGAACGAGTCAGATGGGTCTCCCAGGCCATCTAGTCTGACCCCCGGTTCTAGTCAGCTCTGTTCGTGACATGCCCACCATGTGCATGTCCAACCTATCCTTGAACACCCTCTGTTCCTGGGTATGTGATTGGCCGTTTAATTCATCAGTTGAATTGTTTATGATTTTATTTATTTATTAAAACATTTCTATGCTGCCCCTTGCCAAAGCCCCTTGATTGTCACAGATCTTATGGGGGCAAATAGCATTAATATTGTTATTGTTATTAGCATCAAAACAACTTTCCACCTCTTTTTTTCTTATGGTGGCTTTCATAGCTGTTGGGTGGTGTAGAAATTGATCAATTATATGAATATTTTTTAATTTTAATAAAGTATTTTTATATTTTAATTTTAATAAGATATTTTCCCCCTATTTGCCCTCCCGCCCCCTGAGATCAGCAACAGAAGCCCTCCTCCGGGAACCCTCCGTGAAAGAAATTAGGAGGGTAGGTACTCGGAGGAGGGCCTTCTCTGCGGTGGCGCCCCGACTATGGAATGCGCTCCCCAGAGAGGTCTGCCTGGCGCCGTCGTTATTTGTTTTTCAGCGCCAGGTCAAGACCTTTTTATTTAATCTATATTTAAATATGTTTTAATAGGAATTGGATTTAATAGGAATTGGACGGCATACAAATTTTATAAATATATAATAAATTAATAATACAATAATAATCCTCTTTCTCTTCTCCATTTTTCTTCTCACAGCAACCCTGTGAGGTTGGTCAGACCAGCCGTACCCTCTTCTACCATGTTGGCCTTTTTAGTATCCAGTTAATTTTAATGGTTTTTAATTCATTGGTTTTAATGCTGTTGTATGTTACCCTGAATCATTTTTGAAAAAGAAGAACTCTAATAAATAATAATAACTATATTAGGGTTTTAATTTGGCTTTCAAATTTTGCAATGATATTTATGATTTGGGTTTTTTAAAACTCACCTTTTTTCTATTTGTATGTTGTGTGCTTTTTGTAAACCAGCCAGAGATATTTGGCTATTGGGTAATACAAAAATTAAATTAAATTAAATTAAATTCCTATATGCAAATCTGCAGGACAGAACATGGCTGTTTCCA